TTTCCTTTAGCGCAGGCCTCGCTGATTTGCAGGCGGAGGTGGCCGAGCTGGTGCTGCGCCCGTGGACTCCCTCCCCAGCGCCCGGTCTGCCCGGCCACCCGCCCTGCCCCGACACCCGGCTCCTACCAGGTCGCCTGAAAAACCCCTCTTCTACCGGCCGCGACGGTCCCCGGTCGCCTTGATTTAGCGCCTTTCCTCCGCGCTCCCGCCGTCGCCCCTGCTTTGCGGATCACGCATCTCCTCGCGGCCCGTCTTTGGACGTGGCCTGGTTTTCAGCAGCCGCTCGCAGGCGCTTTGCCGTTTCATATGAGTAACACCCCGAAAAACAAAAGCAAGGCCGATGAACGTGAACGGTCACAAGCCGGCTTTATAGGCAGCTACGTTAATTATTCCCTCGGCTCCCTGAGCAACAAGCGTCTGGCCTGCAGAAAGGGAGAAAAAAAAAGCTTCGCCTTTTATCCAGACGGCGCATATGGTGAAAATACGGGTCAAAAATACGATTGTGCTCACCACTTTCCAAAGATGATCCGGGATGCACCCCAGAGCTCCTGATTCATAGACAAACGTTTGCACGGGGGAAGCAGGGAAGGTCTAACTGATCGGAATCTATTTATTGCCGTTCATGTACTAAAATACTGCTTGTCTTGCTGCGTTGCAGAGGACGTTCTATGCAAACCGAGTCAAAACCGGTCAAGCAACCTTCCTTCTCCCTAAATTATGAGTGTAGTTAACATTCAAACTAAAATACTGGGAGGTGACTATATTTAAAGCTTTCCATACAACTCTATGTGCGTTTGTTTTACTTTTTTGCGGTTTTCCTGAAGTACCTGCTTATGATCGCAAACCGTCAGCGCTCCATGGATTGCTGCCCTGTACAAAGCAGGACACTAAGTTTCATCTCTACGTCTGCATCGAGACAGGCATAACCTGTGTTAGGCCAAATTCTGTCTTTCGGAAGGGGAGTCACTTCAGATCTGAAGGCATGAAGGGATCTTGGCCAGTCTCTGCAGGTCAGAGCCTAAAGCGGGATAATGTCGTACCATGTCGTACCGTGTGCTATAGCAATAAATAGTTAGAGACAGTCCTTGTCTCAAGAACTCGTGTCTTTTGGCATGGCATCAGCACAACAATAAGGGTCAAATTACTTTTTTCTTTCCAGGAATAAATGAAGTGTCACAGTCTGTTGCGCAATACTCATTTTTTCTGACCACGAAGAAAGAGCTGATGTATTTTTGAACCCAAAAGGATACAAGGAATGCACTGAAAGACCCGTAAATCATTGTTGTAAAGCATGCTAGCACTGCTACTGTATTGCCGTAAAAAAGAAAGGGAACAGAAGCATACGCACAACCTAAAGTTGTTAATATTTTAAGTGGAGATCTTTGCGTGAATTTGATGTTAAAATTGACAAAGGTTAAGCCCAAAATAGTTAGGATGCTCTGGAGACATATCGCCTGCCAGCTACATAGATGCATTTAGCTCCAGGCTGAAATCAGTTGCCTATGTTATTCGCAAAGACATCAGGAAAAATAAAAAAAAAAAGTCATAAGCAGTGTTGACTGAATGAATGTCTCCAAAAGAGCCTATCATCCTGGACTTCCTGACTTGCATGGTTCATATCCCAGCTTTAGTATGGTATTAATATAAGAAAGGAAGGCCAAGAATTCACGTGAAAAGAAAGATAACAAAACACCAAACCAGACTGTCCGCAAATTTGGAAAATTTAATGAGAAACTAAGCAGGAATGAGAGATGTGGGAAGCATTTCTAGGGGTCAGACTAGTTCAGCTCTGCAGACTTTCTCCTATAGGAGTCTGTGGGACAGGCTGCTGGCTTCTTTGGAAACACATCTATTTAACGCCCAAAGGAAGTATTCAAAGCTTTTAGCAACCGAGGAATGTGAATTGCTCCAAGCTACAGCATATGCCATGTTCTTCATTTGTCCAATAACTTCACTGTTACAGCATCGACACCTAAAATAGCCTCTTATAAGAGTAGATCTGTTTGGGAAGGTTAAAGTTTCCCTCCCTCCTGGACAAAAACATTTTTCTCTTTCTGAGAACTGGGGCCTGCGGCATCCTGTATGCATACAATGCGCTTGGCTTTTCTTGGAGCAAACACTGTGTGTGCGGAGTGGTTCCCTACAGCTTCCAGGATATGAAGACCTTGTGACCACTCACTTACCACCCTTTCTTTTACAATGAAGACAGCAGAGCAGCACGGAAGCAGAGGAAAGCATAAGGAATAGATTTTCAGATTTTCTCCGTGTGAGATCCCAAGTCAAGCTTTAGTGATATTTGCTGAAAGCCTCCTGTGTCCAGTCAGAAAGAGATGTGGAGTCAGTTCCCCACCAGTAGCCATTTACTGGGCACTTGACCTAGCCACCTTCCTCTCACCTGCATTTGCAGGACAGCTGCAAAATTTCGTGAGCCAACTAATGACCAAGGACATCCAGCCACGGACAAAAACGTTCCGGACAACTCAGGGTTTTTATGACATCCACTCCTAGCCTCTCCTGACACCTAAGCTGAGCCATGAGTCAAATATCTAGTTCTGTGGACCAAGCCCATTCAACTCGTCGTTATGTTAGCGGACGCGTATGTTTTATTCTAAATTAGGCGACGTCCATGTTGGATGCCGTTCCACTGGCTTTGCACCCAGGGTGCAAAGAATCCTAGCAAGTGCACTGCATGTAATGGGAAAACAGGGTATGTTAACAGACCTCCTGGGAACCTTGACTCTGGACTGGAGAGGGCAGGCAAGTCCCATTTAGTGATGTGTTAATGGACTCTATTGAGCCCCTTTTCTGTTTTATATGCAGGACTCTTTTGTTCATCTGAGTCTCGGTTCTCTTAGAAGACAGGAACACTTTCCTTTATGGGATCGCTCAGTGCAGAGAAACCAGTATGAAAACCAGGTGAGCAGGGCAGTCTGCTGGACTGATGGGTTCTGCTCAGCGTGGCTGCAGGACCACAGCTCACCTGGGGTCCCCAGTGAAACCGAGTTTTTGGTGGTGCCATAAGAACCGCTGTGCCTGGGGCCTCTCCCCACTGTACAGGGCAGGAACCGTGGGAAGCTGGAGGCAGAGAGCAAAGGTTCAGCTGAAGCGGCAGGAGGTGGGGAGGCATGAGATGGAGGTGCCTCAAGCCATCAGCCAAACTTCCTCAAGCACAGTGGTTTCTTTTCTGAAGGCGTTAAAAAGGGTTTATTCAGTATTTACTCAATCAGGAGTTGTACTGCAAGCATAAATCGATCCAAAAGAGAAAAAACTGTGTATGAGAGCGTGTGGGGGGTTGTGCATATACAAATATATACATATATATGTAAGTGTATGTGTATGTATAGTCAGAGAACTGCAAGCCTAAGAGCTACTAGCCTCCTCCACCACTGCCCCTTTGCTGAGGACACTCAGAATATACTGGTTGCAGTGAAAAAGCCAATTTAAGAAGACTCTTTGCCTCCAGCTACTTACTCCTGCCTCTGTCCTGCATAGCAGTTTCCCCTTCACTGCACCAGTACTGTACCTTATAGGTCTGCTCCTAGACCAGCTCCCCAGAGGGCTTTGGGTTAACATCTCTTTTACGTGCCATTGGTACAGCACCCATACTACCTAGAGGGAGCAACATATCGTCGTGGACGTGTGTAACTAGAGCAGTAAGAGGAGAAGCAGACATAGCTGATTCACATCGGCGGATCTGAGCCAGCGGATGTGAGGATGGGGATTGTGGCTCATAACGAAGGTTTAGGGTAACAGGCTGAGGCGTAACAATTTTTCTGCAGCTTGTGCAATATCAGCGCTCCAGCTACTCGGAATAGTTCAGATAAGCTCCCCCACTGTCTCATAACAGCTGAAAAACATTCAGATTAGGATGCAGCTGAGCTGATGATGATCCTTTCTTTTTACAGGGTAATCCTGTATCCCTTCCAACGTAGAAGGACTGCAGGACATCACTTCAGTGTATACTAGTAACCACCAAATGAAACTTTGCGAAGGGGTTGCTAGTATTATATGAGCATGCTGGGATGAAGACTGGTCACCTATTTACCAGCTTTCCTGGGAAACCAACAGAGCATCTTTCAAATGAAGTCAGCAGCTTAAGTCTTGAACGAGACACAGTCACCTACTGTCCTAGGGGCTCAACACAACACTTGACACGGAGAAGGTGAACTAGCATAGAAGAAGAAAGAGGGTGGCCTAGAAAGTGGCAGCATCAAAAAGGAGGAGACAATGCAGACATAAACTGAGGAGCTTGTTTCTGTAGGATATTGAGGGTACTAAAAAGTTACAGGAGCTTAAGAACCGATTAGACAAATTCAAGGAAGAAAAGCCCATCCAGGACTGTTAAACACAGACACACCATCTCTAGGTTAGGAAGCCTCTGAGCCACAAACCACTGGTCTGGTGGAGTATTTAGGAGACGAATGACTGTATACTTGGCCTGTTTTTATACTGTCTGTAAGCTTCTGCAATTGGCTGCAGTTGGAGGTAGTTATCTTTCCTGCTCATGGATCTTTTATCTGGCTCCTCCTGCTCTTAGAGACTTAGAGATTCTGCAGAAATCACAATGGCTTTACTTATGCTGCTTAGCTGGTCTCTGCTAACAAATCTCAACTCACCCAGGCAATGTTCAGAAGGTGAAAGAAAATGTTCAAAGAGCAAAAATGTCCCAAATCTGCTTTTAT